ACTGTACATATTGGCGTGACTTGTGCTTGAATAACAGATCTGGAGCTTTGATGTCTCTTAAAACTGGAAGTGCTCAGTCATTTACATTTTTTAAATGTTGGGGGAGAAATTAATCGAAAGCATTTTTTTTTTTCTTACAACCCTAAGTAGTCGATGTCGCTGTCAGATAAACGTGTTTTTAAAAGTACTAAATGGACTCGTCATCACTGTGCCTGTACAGAACTTACCCTCTCATAATGCATCGATCAGTCTGAAAACTCCCGTCTTCCAGGTTCTGCGTTAATGGCATAAATGGAAAACGTTTTTATTTACAGGAGTGTCACAGCACCGATCAAGAGAATGATTTTTTTATAAACCTCGTTCCCTTGAAGTGCCGCTTGCCTCGGTAAAAGCTTCACAAATGAGGCATAAACTGCAGGTAACAACGGAGACAGGAAATGGCTTGTTAAAGGTTTTCCCGTGCACGTCTTCAGCTATTCTCAGAAACACTGGATGCTGTTGTTTCTGACATCTTCTGGCTCCTTGAAAGCTCTGAAGGTGTGAGGTATGAAGTCTGAAGAGGCCACACCTTTTAAAAAAAAAATGTGTGGGTCACTAGATTTTGCAAACCAGCAGTGTGTCAGAGCAAGTTTGCTTTTAGGGTCTATATATAGAACAAAGGTGTTTGTGCAGAACAGAAATGATTCGCCCTGGAGTAAAGGTTAACTGTATGACCCCCACAGCATAAGACAGCCACTGGATCGCCTCACTGTAGGATTCACCACATCTTAATATACACTCAAAAGCTGCTTCATTAGGTCATTAGGGTTAGGTTGTACCCTCTTTTTCCTTCAGAACCATAAATTCAACATACTAACATAACAGCATCACACAGTTGCTGCAGCTCTGTCGGCTGCACAGCCATGATGCTAATCGTGATGCATGGAACGCCATCCTGCTGGAAGCAGGCACCAGAAGATCGGTACACTGTGGTCGTAACAGGATGGATATGGTCAGCAACTATACTCAGACAAGCTGTATATGGTGCTCAGTTGGTACTATGGGGCCCAAAGTCTATCAAGAGAATATTCCTCACACTATTACATCACCAACTGAACTACTGATACAAGGCAAACTACAACTGCCTTCAAATCAAATAGGCATTTTCACCCAGAGAACTGGCGCTAACAGGATATTAACCATCTCCATAAACCTTAGAGATGGTTATGTTGGAAAATCCCTGCAAATCAGCAGATTCTGAAATACTCAGACCAGCATGTTTGGCACCAACAACCTACATTCAAAAGGCACTGACATCGTCTTTCTTTCCTATTCTTGGTTTGAACTTGAGCAGGTTGTCTGGACTATGTCTGCATGTCTAAACGCACTGAGTTGCAACCGTGTGATTATCTGATTAGATATTTGAGTTAACAAGCAGTTGAAGAGGTGTACGACATGGCCTCGCAGTATGTGACCTCACTGTGGGAGTCAAGCATTCAGGTTTTTTGTGTAATCGCTGTCTAAATACTGCATATATGTCTGGAAGAAAAGCAGACTCTGTAATGACTCTAGCGATGCCCAAAGAGCCAGCTGACACTGAAAGTAACTGATGGCCTTAGTTTATCTTTGGCAAGTCAGCTTGAAGGATCGGTACACACTAATCGTAAAGTACGATTAGTACGATATCTGGAAACTTTGTCATCAAGAAAACAGTCCACGGTCACCACAGCTTGAAAAATACTTGCACAATTCGTCTCTGAGTCTGACAAATAGTTGGCAGTTGCATTGGGATATTTCAAAACTGGACTCATTCCTCCATGTTCCAGACCTGGGGAAGAAAATCCCTTTTTTTCTTGGCAGCAGTAAGTTTTAAACAGTCCTCCCAGCTCAGCTAATGTTGAACCACCTGCACTTTAAGTGAATGAGCTCATATTCCGCTGCCACTTCACAGCAGGTTTAAAAGGCACGTGAATTAAAATCTGAGGGTTATTTTTCTAAACCATGAACTACAGCAGTGTGTTCGCTCCATTCAGCACTTATTTATACAGTAATAACAAACACAGGGGTGTGAACTTGTGGAAACAAAAGAGCTCTAATCATAGAAACAATGAACAAAATTAGTCAGCTGTAATTTGGTTGCACTTAATCCTCTGACTGTTATTCTCCGTGCAACTCTTTATCCTCTGTGTTTATAACATTAGATTTAACTAACAAATTTGCACAGAGTCTCAGAAAGCCTGGAATTCTACTTCCTGTTATCATATTGTTGCCATCTTTAGAAATTTGCCCATTAAATGTGGCTTATTTTGTAAAATTAAAAACTTCCCTCGGATGGTTTCGTCATGTTTCACTGACCCTTTAATTACAGTTTTTAGATTTCAGCTTTAATCCAAAAGCCAAAACAGACTGTAATTTGCATATAATTAAGTTCCTGTGTATTAATAATATTATCATAACATAAAATGATCAAATACACCACACTTGTTCTTGTTTAATGGCTGCTGCACAAGCCTTAAAAAAAATAAGACCAAGAAGACAACAACATGATTTAACAGAGTTAGACATGACATTTTCTTGCTGCATGACAGCTTCACAGCCACGATCAAAGCCAAAAAGATGTCACTTGTTGCTGCTGATCTTTATCTGAAATCCTAGAGCCAAACTGACCCCTTTGGGGGTAACTTGAGATTCTCATAAGTGCTAATCAGGGCATCGGAGGCAAAAGGGCAAAACATAAAAACCTCTTTTACTTCAGTGCTGCTAAATTTGCACATCTGTTTCTGTGCTTCTTAGTCCTCCTCCCCGCTCTGTCAGTTTGACTTCCATCCATCCATACTTTAACACTACTGTAGGTAACATAAACACACCGAGTCTCTACTCAGACCACCATAGCGAGAGCAGTGCTGAGTAAATGTGTGTTTTTCTGCGTGTGCGTCTGTCTCAGTGTGTAATACTGCTGGGACATCTTTGGAGAAAAGCACAGTGTGTGTATTGATAGCATCTCTTTTTTTTTTTTTTTTGCTTTTCTTGGACCGAGAAGCATTTTGCTCTCCAGTCAAAATCTCATTTTGTCACCATTAAAATGAAAAATGTCAGATGGCAGATTGAACCACGCAGAACATGAGCTAGACCTTTTAGTTTAGCCAGGGGTGTTCCAGCTGAGTTCGATGTCAGAGAGAGTTGGTCTGAGTGCTGCAGACCATAGAAAAATCTATTTCAACTGTGTTTTAAAAATGTTAACAATTTTAGGCAGGACGAATGTTTCCTTTTCTTTGTGTCTGAAAGTTTTGCAGTTTTATGGATTTTGACTGCTTAAAGCCTCTGAAAGCGTTTTACTGTGAGCAAAGGAGTCTAAGCGCACGATTTTCTTCCATCGTTGTCACGTTTTTCACTGCTCTTCTCATTAGTCTAAAGATACCGGGGAAAGGTGATGGCATACTGCACGTTTGAGGAAATTTAAAGGGAACCTATAATACTCATTTCCAGATCCATATTCTTGTTGTTGGACTCTACTAAAGCAGCTTTGCATGCCTCACAAAACCCTTTTTCGTCTTGCTGGGCTTGGTGCAGCCTCTCAGAAGAGCTTGTGAATGAGGCATGTTGTATAAAGTGCTCTGAGTGCTCAAGTAGATTAGAAAAGTACAATATGGGAAGCAATACATTTACCATTTAAGAATATCTGACATGCAAAAAAGGAAAATATAAAAGATTGAAATTGTTCTTCCTATTTAAGAAAGACCATACTGAAAATCATACTGTACGTGAATCGTGCTTACAAAATAATAAGACGGATGAATGGATGCATGAGTGGATGGATGAGGTCAAGTTCCTTTAGGACACATGCACATGCATTAGCTGCACAATACCTCCGCTCCTTAAACGAGGAAGAAAATAAATTAGTCTTTCCTGCTTTTCCTGCCCTTGCAGGGGGGAAAAAACAGAAAGAAACTCTGGCTAATACAGGAGACAAAATTTATTAGGTTTTTCAATAAAACCAGTTAAGCATGATTTATCTTTTGTCACTGAATGCATGGATGATCTGATAGTTAGTCACTTTATGAATGCAGACAGGCGTCTGAGGTTTCCATGGACATGTTTATATTTATAGTACATGTCCTTTGGGAAGCAGCCAGGCCATTATGAGCACTGATTACTGATTTAAAAGAACCGATAAGTTGTTTTCAAACACCAGATTTAAAGTTCAACAGCTTATCAGGACCAACCAGCTACATCCAGACTGGTCTGAGCACAGAGGTAAGACACAGCTAACAAGCTTAGAATGACTGTGAGTGTCTGCTTTGATGTTCTACTTAAACTGATTAATCTCTTTATTGATTAATCAGTGGATTCATTGATTGTTTGTCTGCATTTCAAAATCAAAAACCTATTGTTAGACCAAGAGGTGTCAATTATGAACTTTAATGTTCCTGGGAGGATCAAAGGTAGGAAGATCTGAACCACTTCAATATTGTAAAGTGGCTCCACATGTTGAGGAACTCAAGATTTTTGCTTTACTAGGATACAAGTGATAGAAAAGCAGTAAATAGTCACAGTTTAAGTTTACAAAGGGAAGAAGTCTGGCATTTTTAATGGAAAAAAATATTATTAATAATTAATTTTACTGTAAAATAGCTCAGTATTGTTATTTTCTGACCATTCATTAGATTAAATACGAATATGAGTGAGAAATGACACGAAAGGTTCCACTGTGGGATTCATTTTTATGGATTTCACACCAATCTAAAGGAATGGATTCAGTTCCCATTGTTCCTTTGCTGTCCCAGATCTTTTTACTGAAATAAACTTATTCCGATGTGCAACGTCATGGGCAGGAAGGAGGTAACTCTTCAAACAACAAACAAACCCAAAACTGTTTAATCCGTCTCTACCTTTAATGGGTCGGTTCATGTCAGGGCAATGAAAGATTTAAACGGGAAGCTTTCGTTTTCAGTTTTTATACCCGGTTTGCAGCAGGGAGGATGTCTCTGGCGCCCCTACCGTCTCCTTAGAGCGCATGCGGCTCCACACAGAGTGAAATCACGATGATCACACGTCCTCTCTCACAGCTCCCACAGACACATAACTGAACGTTTACAAGTCATTTCCTTCGGTGACTATCCAGCCCCTGTTTCTCGGTTTCAGTAAGGAACCGCTCGGTACAGCTTGACTCGCTGACGGCTCCGGCCCTCTTCCAGGCCGGTGTTTTGATTGGATTAGAGTCGGCTAGCCTTTGCCCTCTAACCTCGCTGATGTTTGCTTGCTGCTTCCTGCTCGCTCCGCTCCGCCTGATCGACTGACGAAGCCTGCCGAAGCCGCTCGGCGAAGCGCCCTGCACGGACACAGCCGACCGGGACAAGCCGCCGCTCACAGCCGAGAGGAGAGCCGAGCAGGGGGAGCCGCGAAGCGCACACACGGGCGGGCGGACGCAAAAACCAGGCAGCCATGCGGAGGAAATCAAGGATATTGTTGTGCTTTGCTGTGCTGTGGGTGCTGGGGATAGCCTACTACTTCTACTCGGGGACAGCGTTGAGTCGAAAGGTAGGATTTCCTTTCCTCGACTGCTTTTTTGTGTCCGTGTGGAGGTTTTCTTCCAGGACAAAGCGAAGATGGAGCGCTGTGGTTCGGCGCTGTTGAGCCTCTTTTCTTCCTTTCTGGGGGCTCGGGGGGGTTGCGGCTGCACGATGCGGAGAGGAATTAGATTTTTTTTAAAGAAAAAAATGGGAAAAAAGGCCTGCTTGTATCAGTGGCGAGGCATTGATTTGGTTGGAGATGAGTGTGGACAAGGGCAGTGGGTAGCGGGGCTGGCTGGCTGGCTCGCTCCCTGGCTTGTCGGCGTACACAGACCTCCCGCTGTGCCGGGGCTCGGAGCGCGTCTGCACCAGGCAGCCCAGCTCACCACTTCACGGTGCCGGTGCCGGCTGATGTGACAGCGGAATCAAGCATGCAGGGGGGGGTTGTAATTAATATAGGGCTGCTGGCCTGGCTCGCAGGGCCGGGGGAGGTGGAGGTACCGGTGGTGGTGGGGGTTAGCCTATAGAGCACGTCAGCACAAGCTGCTGCTGCTCCGATAACTAGGCAGAGATCAGGAAGTGTGCAGATTAACGCCGGGTTAAAGCTCTACGTGCACTGTGCTGTCAGGAGGAGATTTTCTTTTAAAGCGGCGTCTTTAAAACACATTTCTTTTTCTGATTTTAGACTTTGCCCCCTGTGCTGCACAGATTCCTCCTTGTTAAAACATTTTTACACTGAATTAAGCCGATGCAGCGCGGTCTATCAGCCCTGCGGTGAATCTCCAGAGATTTATCTTTATGTGGCTCATATTCTGTCCACCTCTTGCCTATCAGAGAGGGTTAAATATTAGAGTTTGGAGATGAAAGGAGATATTAAATATTCTGACTTTTCTAGTTTAAAAATCTTAAAAGTTCCTCAAAATTCTCTTTTTCACGTCCTGGTCCCGGAATGCTGTCCGGATAAAGTCACTAGATGCTGTGACAGTCCAAACTTCAGCACGTTAATCAATAATGAAAAATAATAATTAGTGGGAAACAAATATGGGAATTTGCTGCTTTCTCCTTTTCCTAACATATTATAAAATGTTTGAGTTCTTGACTTGGGCAACAGCATAAAGACATCACCTCTCCAACTGGCCAGCTCAGGTCTGGTGTTATGGATCGGAAGATTACTTGAGAAATGACCTGCCAGATTAATCAATAGAGAAGATAATTGGTATTGGTATTAATAGAAGCACCTCTCAGTATAAGGCAGTGCAAATGAACCCAAACTGCCTCCTCCAAAGTGACCACACAGTTGAACTGGCACACTTCTACACACACTTTGACAAAAACCTGAACATTATAACCTCCATTAGAGCAGCTATTAGACTAGATTTTCTATAATAACCTGAAGACATGTAGCTGTCTGTTCTAGCGGATAATAAAGGTGAAACATCACAGCTGGTGGGGTGACTCTGCATGTTTAGGAGCCATGGATTTCAGTATCTGGATCTGTATATGCAAGCAGTACATAATCCAGGTTAAATAACCTCCAGGTGTTCATGAAGAGTAAGGCACGGCACAGCTAAACTTACACCTATCTTCTGAGATAGATGTGAGACACTGGGTTTTGCCTTGGGAGAGCACCTAGCGTGTGTGTGTGTACCTGTGTGCTAATGTAAGTCAGTGAATTCTGGTGTGTGTGTGTGTGTGTGTGTGAGTGAGTGAGGTGTGGTCTGCATGGGTGGTTGTGTGCACAGTACACTGCCTTTATTACCTCTCCAGGCTGTGTGTGTGAGTATATGTGTGTGAATGTCCTGTGTGTATCCCACCTTTCTCTTGTCTTGTCCTATCTGTCTCTCTGTGTTTGCTTTGCATCAGTCAACCCTAGCAGCACTTTTACTTTTCCATTAGGCTGATAGCTTTCCTCACTCTGTGTGTGTGTGTGTTTGTGTGTATTTGAAGTTCCTAGAGGGGTCAAAGTAACACTCCACAATAAGCAACTTTCACTGGCGTTGGGTTGCAGGTGGCATTAATATGGATGATGGCCTCCACCTGGTTGGTGCCTTTACACAGAGGGACATTTAATCTGGTTAAACAAAAGCGGTGCTGCACAGGTGAAGTGTTGTTTTTTCCATCGCATCTCTCCCCCCTTCTCAGTCTGAGAAAGCGGAAGCATTTAATGATCTCTCTCCCCCGCTTTGCTGTCATGGAATAAACTCCATAATAAATGGACTCGACGCTTCATCAAGACTCTCAAAAATTGACTAAATTTCATGGATGTGCTTTTTGTAACCAACTGAATAACACATTCATAGATTTTACAGTTACTGGCCGGTGTGCAATAATTCCCCAAATCCACAGTTGGGTTTATTAGTGATTTTCGGGCACCGGTTTCAGTCCATTAATGGAGGAAAAGATGGAAAAATCAATTTTCCGCAGATGTAATCAATTATTTCAACTCGGGGCTCTCCTGATGTCAGCATTTGGCTTCACAAAAACGATACTGTAGAGAATTTATCCAAGTTAAACCTTAATATTGTTCATTAACTCTCTTTTTTTAAGATCAGGCTTAAAACTTTCCTTTTCGATAAAGCGTATAGTTAACGTTAGGTCAGGTGACTCTAAATCTTCCCTTAGTTACGCTGCAATAGGCCTAGGCTGCTGAAGCCTTCCCACAATGCAATGTTTCTTTTTCACTCTGTATGTTTATACACCACTTTGCATTTCCACAGTGTGTCTTTTGTCCTGTTGTCCTCCCCTCACCGCGAATTGGTCTCGGCAGATGGCCGCCCCACCTTGGTTCTGCTGGAGGTTTCTCCCTGTCAAAAGGGAGTTCTTCCTCCCCACTGTCCCCAAGTGTTGCTGACGGGGGTGGTAATCGTCTGATGGTTGGGGTTTTCTCTTCGGGGGCATTTCTATGTGTTAATTACTGTGTGATCATGTTTCATATGCAGTAACAATACATTAAATAGAAAGCTGGGACTCTCTTGCCTTCTGGGTCCTTGCTCTTTGTTGTGGTCATTTTTTTATTTTAGAGAAACACATTTGTCCCTCAAGTTTTTCCACATCTTTGTACATTGTCTCACATTAGGGCTGGGCGATATGACCCAAAATTCATATCTCGATATTTTTTAGCTGGTTGGCGATATAAGATATATATCTC